TCATTAGGCCTGAAAAGGTTGCAAAAATGATTGAAAGTGGCAGACATTTAAGACCATTGTCACCCTCCCCAGGAGAGGTTGGCAAACAACAATCTTTTCAACAGCGAAGCTTGTTTAAAAACTTCAAGGTTAAAAAAAGAAAAAAAAAAATACTTAATGCAGGCAAAAAGAGAAACAGAAGGCCTCGGTCACAATGGATATCTGTCTTTGTGGAGAAGGTTATAGATTGCATAAAACAGCAAGATTTCTGAAGGAAAAAATTGGTTTAGATGTAGAGCATCACTTTGTGCCGCAAGAAAATGTCAGGACATCTGTCTGTGAAGTAAATTTTAAGAGAAAGTGTCCTTTTTCTGCATTAAATAAAGCCTTGAGCAGGGAAGCTTTTAAAAAAAAAAAGATTTTAAAGGAAGAATAAAGGTATTGATTTGAAATGAAAAAGTGCTGACCTTTGTCTGATGTAATGGACCTGTGAGAGAGCTGTTTATCAGAGGAGAAAACACCAATAACACACATGAAAAACAGAAATAAATAAACTGCTCGAAAAAATAAAGGGAACACGTAACAACGCAATATAACTTCAATCACTTCAAACTTCTATGAAATAAAACTCCACTCAGGAAGCAACACTGGTTGACAATCAATTTCACATAATGTTGTGCAAATGGAATAGACAACATGTGAAAATTAATGGCAATTAGCAAGACGCACTCAGAAATGCAGGTGGAGACCATTCCTCAGTACCAGGTAGTGCAGCTCATCCAGGATGGCACATCATTGCAAGCTGTGGCAATTGCCACCAGGAGAACACCAGGATTGGCAAATTCGCCATTGATGGCCTATACTCCTAACAGTTTAAAGCAGTTTAAAACTGAGCACATGTAACAGAGTCTGGAGATATCGGGGAGAGCAATCTGCTGCCTACAACATCCTTCAACATGACTGGTCAGGCAATGGTTTAGTAATGGTGTGGGGTGGCATTTCTTTGAAGGGCCACACAGGCCTTCAAGTTCTTGCCGTATGGGGATCACATGGAGGGTGGAATTAGGTATTAGGTATCAGGCTCCTTGTGCGGTTGGCCTTGCCCTCTAGGACAACGCTAGACCTCATGTGGTTAGAATGTGTCAGCAGTTCCTGCAAGATTGGGGCATTGAAGCTATGAACTGGCCCACCTGTTCCCCAGACCTGAATCTGATCTGGGAGATCATATCCCCATGAATCCACAAATGTCACATTGCACCACAGACTGTCCAGGAGTTGGCTAATGCTTTAGTCAAGGTTTTGCAGGAGATCCCTCTGGAGACCATCCGCACCTCATCGGAGCATGCCAAGGCGTTGTAAGGAGGTCATGCAGACAAATGGAGGCCACACACAATATTGAGCCTTTTCTGCCTCTCGACTTCTGAGCCTTCCAGTTCCCGTCTGATCTGTTTGCCTGACCTGTCTTCTGACTCCTGCCAGATATCTGCCTGTTCGTATACTATATCTGGAACCGTGACCCCACTCTGTCCTGGATTCTTCTTCAGCACCTCACCAGACCACTTACCTCCTATCTCTGACTACCGAGCAGGTCTGCGAGATCTGCTTTAGCTTCACTCTGCAATATCCTGGCTACATTTATCTGCTTGGTTCTGATCTCCTGCCTGTCCTCTAACCACAATACATCAGTGTCTGGGACTCTCTGTGCGGTGACCGCCGCGCCGCGTTGGTAGCCGGCCGGCTGGAACCATCATCACCCTCTGGGCTCCGACTGAACTATAAGACCAGGTTAGTGACGCTTCCAGAAAGACGTGGTCACTAACCTGTTGTCTTCACCTGCAGGGGTTCCTGCCTTAGAAGACAAAGTCCTTCACTCTGGTTCAGTTTTCAATTAACATTTAAAGATATCAAACTGCTTGTCCACATTGAATACTGGATTCTACTTTTCTGAGCCTGACACTTGATTGTATTCCAATTAAGAGTGAAATAAATATCCTAACGCCCTAATGGTAACCCAAAGTTGCTTCTATTAGTCTCTCCAGAATCAAGGAAAACTTAATCTGCATGTCGAGGTTGTGGTTTGCTCTCATCATTTAAAACAGCACACTAAGGCCAACTGGCTGCCTTCCCAGATCAATGAGGCTGATCAGCAGTCCTGGGACAAAGAAAAAGAAACGACTGGCCATCTCTTAAAGCCCCGAGCCTCAACAGTTTTTTTTTTTTTGGTAGCTCCTAACCATCTCCAGGGAAATGGATAAATCATTCTCTACATACTGAATAAGCAAACCATCCTGTTGTAGTCAACTATTGTGTTTTTACACCTCTAGTCACTTTTTTTCAACTTGGTTCTAACAAAAAAACATGAAGGCAACATGAAGATCTGGATTTAATAAGATGGCTTCACATCATTATAATAGAGAAGCAGGAGGCTCATAATTGATGGTCATATTTTTCTTTATCTTTATCTTTATTAGACCATAAATCTTAATAATTGTCATATCACAGCATTAGATCATTCCTGTACAGTACCTGATCCCATGCTGAGGTAAAAAAAAAAACAAAAAAAAAAAACATGCATTAAACATTTTACTTGAATATAAGAAAAGTAAAAAATGCAAAATGTAACATTTACTTTTGTAAAGTAAAATTAACTTTTAAGGAAGCCAAAAAAAATCCTTCTGGTTCATTACATGAAGGAAAAGATATAAAAGTAAAAAAAGGAGATTTCACTTTAACTGTTCATCAAAAATCAATAGTTGTAAAAAATAAGAGGAGAAATTAAAATTCTTAAAAAAAAAAAGAACCATCAAACAAATTTTTCACCAGCAATAGTTGGTTAAACAGTAAATGGCCTGTACTTTTATAGCACTTTATTTGTAGGTTGTTAGGTTGCATTGTTTATAAATTGCAAATTGTAAACATAAATCTTATCCCATTTTTGCCTAACATGTACTTAAATATAGGTAATGTTTAGTCCAGTTGCAATTGATTGAGAAACAAATTTATTCTCATAGTCTATGGAACTGTGAACCAGATCCTCCCTAAGTACTTTAGATATCTTGATTTTGTCGGGCTGACATGTCTCTTAAACATCGCATGGAGGTCAGGGACAGCGCCACTGGATTTGCAGAGGAATGGTGGTTCCTCTGCATAAGACGGGGGTCTGAAGGGTGTGTTCCAACACAAAACTAAGTGGTTTACACCGGAGGATAAATGTTTGAATGGGTAAATGACAGAATGTTGTTTGAAGCCCTTTGGAGTACCCTGACTTGAAAAGGTGGAATATAAGTACATGCCATCCTGTAGGAAATAAATATCTGTAATGTCACACTACCTTCCGTATGGAAACTGAAAATTTGCTGTGTTGTTTCCTCAGTGTTAATAATTTGGAGTTGGGTGGTGTTTTGGCTGTAAAAAAAAAACTCAGCAGGTGCCCTCAATCAACCAACTTACAGTAGTAGTCAACACCTGCAACTAAGTTGAGCGTGGTTTGGATGTTCATGCCTTTTTTCCATAAAATAATTTTCAAAATAAAGCAGTGTGGCCCAATTATTCAAGTAATAAATGCTAAAGTGCCACATTGGGAGCCAAATTGCATGCTAATGCAGTCAGTGCATGCCAGTGGTTTGTACCGGTCAAATTAATTATTCTGGAGAATGAGGACTATGGCAATAGGTAAGTTTAAGGTGTGTGTTGTGCATGTTAACCTGCTGTAACCTTTGAGGTGACTACAGGAGTTTTCAGATTTGCTGACTTGGATGTTGGGATGTCTGGTCATGGTGGCTCGGGAGATAGGGGTCTATCCTGTAACCTGTGGATTGCCAGAGTGAGATCCAACCTTATTGCTGATGTTTAGAAGGCCTAGGGAAGTATATTGTCTTAGTGATGAAGTTATTTTCCTCATTATTTACACTATTAATCTAATGGGTCATAGAATAACAGAATGTATGTTAAAAAAAATCAACGCAGCAAAACTTAAAAAAAAATGTAACAGCAGCATGGGTGTCAAATGTTTAACACTAAGTCTTAAAATGTTAAAACTTTTTAAAATGTCAAATCTAACATGCTGTAAGCTGAATTACCAGTCAATCATTTTATTTATAGAGAGCGCACTGCTGTGGTAATATTAAAGTGCTCCCATTTACTTAGCATTTACAGATACCTTTATAATTTTCTAAAAGGCATTTAAAAGAAAAAAATATTTTATTATATAATTCCATGAGGAAGTCAACAAGCGAACACAGGACCTTCTTAGTACAGTGTGCCACTAAGCAGTCCATGTTAAACTTAATTTTAATTTTTAAAAACCAACAAAAAACAAGCCTGATCAAATGAAATAAAAAGTTTCACACCTGAATGACATAAACTGAGCTAAAACGACTGAGAAACCTATTAGAATCTAAACAGCATTCCTTCTGATTAATAATAAAACTGTGTACCAAAGATGTAGTTCAGATGAATTTTTTTGTATTGGCCTGCTTGATAAAACTCTTAAATGTTTATTTCTACATGTCCAACTATAAGTAATGATGCAGTCCCCTACAGCTTTCATCTTTCTCAGGTTGTCATGACGCCAAATGAGCATAAGTTTATTTCCAGGGGAAATCAAAGTCTTGATTTTAATTAGTTACTTTAACTTCATTCAGAACTTTAACATTAAATGCTGAGATCCACTTTAACATCGCTCTTCTGGGATCTGGAGCTGAATGCTGAGGTCTATAAAGTAAAATTATAGAATGACACATTTCCCTTTCAGCTTCTTGATGCCACAATGTTCACCCAGATAATAAGGTAGAAATAATGCAACCAGATTCATGACGTTTGTCTTTCCAATAATGAAGAACAATAAAGTGAAATTGCATTATGAAGTAGCCCACAGAGTGCGCGCATTGCGCAACTCTCCAGCGGACCATCATGGCACAGATGTGGGCGCCTCACTCTTCTGACTCTGCTGGATCTGAGCGCTCAGCGGAGCCAAAAGATGCGCACTAAACGCAGGGAGGAGCTTCGGGATTTTTACCTCACTTGTTTTACGCCACACTTGAGTGAAGACTCGGTTTCAAAAGTAGATTTTCCTGCGAAAGGTGAGTCCATTAATGCGCGGATAGTGTGTAGACTGTCAATTAATGATGTGAGGCTCGATCTGTTTTCCAGTTGCATCAGGGAGGTGCTAAATGTGTAGATTTCCCTGTTCTTTAGACGCGGTTATATCCTCTAATTGGGACGTGAAGAAACCTTTTGAAGATAATGATGAAGAGTCCAAATTATGTGAGATAGTTGAAGCTGTCTGCATCTGTTTAAATGAGCTTTGAATGGTCTGAAAGCGAGAAAGTGGAACGCGGACACAAATTACGCATAAATGCATTTTCTCTGGTGTTGGATGTGAGGTGGATTCTGCTCCAGCAGGTGCATCGCAAAATAACTCTTGGAATAAGGCATCATGGATCCCTGAAGTTTTTTTTTTTTTTTTTTTTTTCAATTACTGTTAAAGTTCAGAAAAATATCGCCTGGAATGAAATAAGGCTCCATCTCATCCTTCTACTCGGGTGCATCTGTGCGCTTTGGTCCTGATGTGCATGCTTGACGACAGCCACATTTTCTAAATTGCTTCATGTTTCCAGTTAATCCTAAAGCTGTTTCACTGTATCTACTGCATAGATGATGAGTTCTTTAAATTCATATTGCCCAAAAGGTGAAGGCTTTCCTTTATTTCTGAACTATGGAAACATTAGGGGGTGGTAACACCTGTTGTGTAAGCATTTATCTTTAAATCAGCTGGGAACAAGACAATAAAAATCCTGCTTGGTGTTGCACGTGTTACATATGTGCTTTTGAAGTTGAATGTGAGAAGCAAATTCAGTGAGTTTTGTCCTTCTGGGGTTTTTGAAGCCTTCATCAGTAATCAAAGAAAATAAGAATCAATTTAGCATCAGAAAACATTGTGTTTGATTCCCCGTACCTGGGTTTTTATATTCCTTTTGAGATTTTTCCATCTGATTGATTGGATAACGTAATGACTATAAATAAATGCTCTATTCGGCTTGTATCATTTCAAACAGTTACATAATTTGCCAGTCCAGCAAAAAAATCCACAGTCTAACTTTAGTTTACCTGAACATTTTCTCTGTTTCTCACTGCCAAGAGATTGGATTCTTTTCTTATATCTTCCCTTTGGTGTTGACTGGAATGATGTAGTTGGAGGTGCCTGTATGGGTTTAAGAGGGAAGTAGAGAGTGATTCAGCAGTCATAGAAAGCTCTTTGGGACTTTACAGTCATCCTCATGGAATGTATCCCCCACACTATGTGGTTTTCATAACACCTTAACTAAAAAAGAACATGCACAATCATGTAACGAAATCTGGTCCTGCCTTTCTGACCTTGTTACTGGTCATACATATTTTCTGTGAGATTCTTGCAGGTTTTTCTGCAAATCTTTCACAGCACGAAAGTAAAAACACAAGGAGGAATTTGGAAAGTGGATAGAAAGAATGGAGAACCAAAATTTCAAACACAGGTTGTAATATGGCTTATTGTATCTTTGTTTATTTAAAAAAAGAAAGTAAGACAGATAAACAGCTAAATGTATCTTATGTGTGACTGAATGATTTTCTAATTTGTCAGGATTTGGTTGAGGTTTGAGGACCCAAATGCAGAGGCAGGGAGGCAGAGGTGAGTTTCTTGATGATTTAATGAAGTGAAAACAAACAACTGATGCAGGAATCTAAAAATCCAAAAATCAAACAAGAAAACAAAGTCAAACAAACCAAAACCATAGAGACATCTGGGGGGAAACAATCATGAGGAGGAAGACTCAATGAGACAGAGTTGGAGGAAGTTTGACAAGGAACCAGCACTGAAGAACTGCAAAGAGAGTGTATTTATGGGAGGCTGAAAAAAAAAGAAGAGAGGACTAACAAGCAGATTGGGAGCAGGTGTGAACAGAGCAGAACAGGAAAGGAGCTAGGAAAAAAAGCGAACACAAGGGGGCAGCAGAGGGCAACAAATAAAAACCTGAAAACTGAAAATAACCAGAAAACACAATGAAATAAGAATTAAACCACTAAAACTAGAAAACATGGAGCAAAGTAAAACTGAATACTCAAAAGAAAACATAACAGAACCAGAACTGTGACATAATTGAATATTTGGCTGTTATATCTTGAAGCAAAGGCTGTTAAAACAAAGGTTGTTGAAGCAAAGGCTGCAAAAAAAGAGAAACTCCAAGATGCTGGAGCCATTAAAAGCACAACAGCTTATATCTAATACAGATTTCCAGTGTAGTTTAGTTAAAAACCTATTATGTTAAATGACAACATTGTGATTCAGCCACCAAACCATCAGCTGACAATTTAACCCTTTACTGTAATAATTGAACATATATCAGTATGCAGCAGCAGCTCTTTGGCTGCAATTTAATTGAAAAACAAAAACAAGATGGCAAACTGCATTTCTAATAGCTTAATATTAGGCCCAGATTTATTCCTTTATTATGAGCTGCAAGCTGTGTAGGCACATGTGCTGCAGCTCTAATGATTGAGCTTAGAAGTCACCGACTACCCCTCATTGCTTTGACTAAAAAGACAAGCAGAACAGAGGGCAATAATGAGCAAAGATGTTTTCTCATGATCATCAATGGATCAAGGTGACTTCAAATTATAATTTTTTTGGTTGGGTATCTGAACTCATCTGTTTAAGTGAAGCTTGTTTTCTATTCTATTTTCTTCCTGACTGCTGCTGGTGTTTCCTTTTTACAGCTTTATAGAACATGCACATGTTTTATTGCAATCAAATACAACTGTGCAAAAGATTGTGCTAATGATGAGTTTGTGCACATTGGAGATGCATCTATCCAAAAACAATGAACTCAGCTTTTATTCTCCAGCTGTAAACACTAGTATCCTTGATGTTCGTTATATTTACAATGGAGGTTCAAGCCCAGTAACAAAATGGATATTGTATAGAACGTCTTTCATCTGAAGCTTGGCTAGAAGGCTAGAATTTTGTCATCATGCAGCCTGTGCTGATTTGATAAACAGCAGAGCAATTTATGACAGAACTATAGTTGAAACAAATGGAAGGTGTTGTACACATGAAAATCAGAGGTCAAAGAACCAGCAGTACTAGCAGACTCCCAGCTGTGAGGCCTCAGCGGGGATAGCTGGCAGAATTTGACAATCTAGTTGTCTTAAATGCACTCACTATGCCAACCGGGAATCGCTGTTTGGGAAAGTGCGTGAAACATGTTGTCCATGTCTGCAGAAGCAAATGCCTGATGCACATCCTGCAGTGCTTGAGCTAACAAGAAATACAGATCAGAGTTATCGAGTACTCTGATTTGAGACTCGTGGAGTTTCCCCCCCCCCCTTACTTCACAATCTGTTTATTGAATGAATGAATAACATCTTTAAGGTTTTGTTAAAAAAAACAACACAGAAGAATAAAAATCAATCATAAAATAAAGATTACCCAACAAGAATGCTTTATTTCCATTTTAGTTGCAACAAAATCATTTCATGCTTCCTCACAAAAAACAGCATGTTACATGGATAAATTACAACAATTACAAATAAAAGCTCTGAGAAAGAAGCTATTCTTCAACCAGGTAGTTTGTCTAACGGTGCTACTTTAATGTTTCTGTGCAACTTTTTACATTTTCATGGGACTTTTTTAAGTTCTGCTTTCTTTGACTTAAAATCCTCTTAGTACCACTCTCACATAGCTGAAAAGAGGATCTACTGTTGAATTTTCCTATTGGTTCACATGAGTTATGCTTGAATATCATTTAACCTAAAGGCAACTTTTCTCTTTATTTGAAGACTTTTCTCACCTTGCTGTTAAAAATGGGTTTCAGAAAGATTCTGATGATCCTGGTGGTCCTCAATAGTTCTGAAGTTTGTGTAAGTCAGGTCTGTGGGTCTCTAATTTAGCTCGCTTTTAAACCAACCCCCACTCTGTGCCTTAGAAAAAGTCCTGTGACATTACAGTGGATCTGTTATCACCCTGTACCTGTACTGACCTCGCTGCAAATCTGGTTCTTCAAACCACAGATTTATATAAAAGATCCAGCATCAAATAAATGTAATCAGATGAGCAAACATTGGAAGGTGCTGCTTGTTACAGCCCAACTCTCAATTCAAGATTTTAGGGCTGGGGGATATATTTTTTAATGATCTTTGGTAGCACTGTTCTCAAATCTGCATGATTAAAGTCTCCAGCAACAATCTCAGAAGGATCCTTCATCTGGATGTTATTAAAGGTGTGCAGTCTCTCAGCGCTACCTTGTTGTTAACTGTGGTGAGATGAAAATACCCTGCAAGAACCAAAAAATGTTGCTCTGTTTCTTGAAGTCGCAGGAACAAGAAAGAAGTTTGTTTTGCCTCTGGCTTTGCATACCGTATGACAAACTCAGCTACCAAACTTATAGAAAGTCTAATCCACTGTAACAACACAAAACTTTTTTAAGTTACTTAAATATTTGTTTCCATTTCTATATTTGATTTTTTTTTTTTTTACTAAATTTTTTCTTATTTTTCTTTCTGCGCCTTACGTTCTCACAACTGGCTCATTATTTCTATACAAATTCATAATGACATGAGGTAACAATCACAACGAATCAAAGAAAATCAATGTAATGAAAATCTGTCCTGTGGGAGCCCAGTGTGATACTCATATGGATGGATGGATGAAAACAAGGGGCTGGTGGATCCAATTCTAAGACCATTCATTCCCCCTTTATTAGATCATAGATTAACATTCAGATTATGTTTAACAATTTTACTGCTGTTAAAACCAGAGGTTTTAAAAGCATTCAGCTGCTTATACAGGACTTCTCTTCAGCTCAATCTATATTATCCAGTCTGAAATTTAATTTATAACAAAAGTACTCCAAGTCAGTATTTTTAGAATAGAACTGATTTTAAGAATAGTGTTTTCAAAAGTTTTATTTAGGCAAAAACCTTATTTTGCTATATATAGAAACTGCAACGTTTGATTCAAGTTAAGGAGTTCAGTCAGTACTTTTGCTTTTACCTGTCTTTTTTTAAACAGGTATCTATATCTCTGATTAACTAAAGCATGTGGGTACTTTTGAAAGTCTGGTTACAAGCTGAAGAACATGTTCACAAATAAAACTCAAGTGGTCCTCAGGCACTTGCACTTATTTCCTGGAGGGGAAAAGTTCCCTTTCTGCTTGAGCTCAGCTTTTTCTTCATTCACCAATAATTGTAAATAAAAATTGCTCTCTTCCTTAAAATAGCTTTGGTACAACACAGGCATTTTCTTTAGTTTGTCACCCTCCTTCCACATAAACGTCATGCAATGTTGAGCAAACCACTGGCCAAACCACTGCAGCCACTTCACTCCTCTGATCCTCTGCATCAGGCAGACATGTTGGCGTTTGTGGACTGTTAGCCACAATTGTTTACATGCTAGAACTGCTTAAAACATCATATAGCTTCAGGTGCTACGAAAAGAAAACAACAACTGGGACGGACATTTAGGCTTCAAACCTGCTGAAAACATTTCCACTGTTATTGAAAAGACAGTTAGCTAACACACTATATGGCCATGCCTAACTTTGGTTAGGCCATAAATTTGGTTCAAATTGGGCAAAATTTCATACATCCAGTTTATGAAAATTTTTTGAAATGGAAAAGGTGATTCAGTGACATCTGGCAACCCTGCTGAAGTCACTGTTGCGTCCGTGTTAATAACCAAAGCCAGTAAAACCGCATTATAGAAGTCTTGGTGATGGTTGTCGCGTGATACTTGAAGATAGATCGGTTAATCCACAATGGATAATTCACATTGGAGACACACGCGTTTGACTGTGCTTCTATTTCTTTTGGGGGGGGAGGGGGTCCATAAGTAGGCGGGTGTAGATGTAAAATGCCATGGCCAAAAATTGTTCCCAGTCTGAGCCTGCTGCTACCAAACAGGTTAGCTCTGGGGAGAATGTTGCTACGGTGACAGAAACAAAGGTTGAAGAAATTCTCTTTCTGAACTGGAAAAGTTAGAGTTTCCTTGTTTTCAGGTGTAGACAACTCAGAATTTTTAAACCTGTTTCAGGAAACAGACCCATTAACTCCATCCCCTCTTGTCTTACTAGAGTCCCGAGTTCTATCTGCATAACAGACAATGACGGCAACCAATCCTGTAAGATAAATAGACACAGTGCAGTCGGCCAAGTCTCGGTGAACACAATCACACAACTGTCCCTGTTGCACAAGCCTAATTTCATAAGTCTTGTTGGCAAGTCAGCAACAGATAACAACAGAAATACTTAAGAAAGCTAGTGCATGTTAGCTTTTAGCCTCGCATGCATATCAGTTCACTCCCTCCAGTTCTATCCGAACCTATGCTAACCTCGGCACGTCCTTAGCAGACTAAGAATGATGTCCTCTGGTCCATCTGTCCAATGTGCTGTAATGGAATCTATACTTAAAGATATTCTCCCTAAATGAAGGAGCTCTAGTTATAACATACATGGGTCTCAGTTTTCTTTACAAAAAGATCCAGCATAAATTATGGAAAACACTACTATGCAAAAGAGAGAGCCATCAATGTCAATACTGCGAAAATAATTTAACTCTTTCAGTGATTTACTTATGTATATTAAGTCTGAAAGAGATATATGACACATTTTGTTTTGTGTTTTCTCTGCTTAGGTGTTGCTGCAGCCTCAGTATTTTGGACCTTCTAGTAAAAATGAGCCCACTCGACTCCTCCAACACCACAGCAGAGGGGGAGGCTGGCGGTGACCTTTCATTTTTGTTCAACGACAGCCTTGGTTCATACCAGCCGGGGTTCCACTCTGATATCACCAAGCACCTTGGAGTCCAAATCACCTTAATCATGGCTTATTCCTTAATAATATTGTTGGGGCTGCTGGGCAATTCCCTTGTAATCTACATGATTATTCGCTACAGGAACATGCGGACAGTGACCAACTACTTCATAGCCAATCTGGCGTTGGCGGACCTTCTGATGGTCACTCTTTGCCTTCCCTTCACTCTGGTTTACACTCTGTTAGATGAGTGGAAGTTTGGTGCCATGTTATGCCACATGGTACCTTTTGCCCAAGCACTGAGCGTCCATGTGTCTATACTGACCCTGACTGTCATTGCTCTGGAACGTTACCGCTGCATTGTTTTCCACCTCGGTCGACGCTTGACTTGGCGTTCCAGCCTCTTCATTATGGCATTCACCTGGACTATTTCTTCTGTCTTGGCAGCTCCTCTTGCCATCTTTAGGGAATATCGCTATGAAGAAATTCCTTCCATCAACCTGCGCATGCCCGTGTGCTCTGAGAAGTGGCCCCATGGCATTAACAGGGACGGAGTCATCTACAGCCTTTCAATGATCCTATTACTGTACATTTTACCTTTAGCCATCATCAGCTATGCCTACATATGCATCTGGGTCAAACTGAAGAACCACGTCAGCCCTTCCAGCCGGAACGACAGCATCAATCGACGCAAGAAAACAACAAAGATGTTGGCATTGGTGGTGGTGGTGTTTGCGGTCAGTTGGCTGCCTTTGCATGTGCTTCAGCTGGCCACTGATCTTGACCTGGTGCTCCGATTCGAGGAGTATAAGCTCATATTTACTGTGTTTCACATTGTCGCTATGTGTCCTACCTTTACCAACCCTCTTCTCTATGGATGGATGAATAAAAACTACAGGAATGGCTTCTTAATGGTGTTCCGGTGTGAGGACAAGGCAGACTCTTTCCACCCAGAAGGGTCATTTAGGACACGTTCTGTGAGAGGGCTGGCTGTGAACAGTCGTAATGGTGGACATCCTCCTACTGCTGTATGAAATTGGTGTGGTGTAAATGTAGAATCTTTAGAATGTTATTAAAACGTTTGGTTTAGGGGTTCAGAAGCCTATTGGCTTGATCATGTCTGGTCCTCAATTGTTGTCAAGAACCTTGAAACCATCTTTCCACCAAGTTCCAAGGTACAGGTACATTAGGTACAATAATTCATGGTGTGCCACTTCAATACTTAACTGCTTATGTGTTGCTGTTGGTAACAGCATCTTAAAAATATCACAATCAATGATCTGTTCTCTTCTTCTTCTGGTAATTATTTTGTGTCTGGTAAATCTGACTCCTGCTGTTTTCAATTTTATAGCGAAACTATGTGTTATTGTTTGCAAACGCAACACTGAGACTTGGTTAATGCAAAGCTTCAATGTGATGAAAAAAATGCCTTTCCATATCGGTCAATTTAAGCAAAGGTCTGGGATTTCTTTATATCAGTTACACGCCAGCAAAGTAGCAAATCATTCCAAACTTTGTTGAAATGTTGAAGCTTCTCTGACAGTATTGTACCAGGTGTGTTGTTTTTCTTAAACGTTTTTTCTTTTTTTTTTTATTTAAACATCAGAAAATAAATTTTTTGGAGGGGAATATCAAACTATATCATATTTTCGACAAAAAAAATGCTTTTTTCCACTTTTAAGGCAATCCCTAATTGAATAATGAATTGGTATGGAGATCAAAGGTGTGATGTTTTGGTAAGAATGAGCTTCAATACGTTTGCTTTCACATAATAATTGCTTTTCCTCTCTGTTTATTAAGCTGACACTCTAAACATTAAACTTAAAATGAAACGATAAACCAAACTAAAGAGATTGTGTCATACTATTATCTAAAATTATATTGCAAAAATGAAAAATAATAACATATAAAAGAAAAGACCTAGCAATGTTTTATAATTTTTGGCAACAGTGCTGCCATGTTGCAGAACTCTAAGCGGTGATGTCACAGGGTTGGTAGGCTCTGTAACTGCCATTTGAATATCTTAGTAATACCAACTATACCATACAATCATAAACTTCTTAAGAAATTTAGTATGATGGGAGACGAAGCTGAGAGGCCACTCATTGTCTATGCTTTTGAGCCCATTCGCCGTGTGACTTTAGTCGTGGTAAGGAGATAGGAGGCAGTTGTGAGGTATAGCTGGTATTATCAATGTATTCAATGGCAGATACAGAGCCAACCAAATCTG